GGACACTGAAGTCTTCAGGCGGGTTAACCTTGTTGGGACTTGGGGCTCACGCCTTCTTTTGAAATGGTGTTTGAGGATGAAAGTACTGGCCGGCAGTAATGAGCACTCAAAACGCTCACTAACGACCAAAGCAAAACAAACAAAAAATCCAATTCGCCTCCTCCAAGGAAATCTGTCCCCATCTGGGAAACCACCCATGAAAGCCGTGGTTCTAAGTCTACTTATCTAATCCTTAAGTTCCTAATGAGTTATGGGCTGTATCTATGGCTCTCTGGCACTTATTTAAAAGCTCTATTCAAAGAATCTCTTAAAGACTCAGTAGTTTTTTTCTTGAGTGCCTTGAGGACAACCGCAAACTTCTATTCAATTAAAAGGGTCTCCATCTACACTGACAGCTACTCTGGGGGACGCTCAGTCTTTGCACTGTCTTGGTTCAGTCTTTGCAGTTACTTATTTTCATTTTCAACACGGGTTTCTTCTTTAAAGCATGGGGTCATTTTCTCTGACAGCTGCCTATTCGGTTTGGAGTGCTATTGCCGAAATAGAAATGATTTTTGGTTCGGTACAACTCATTTAAATACTTCACTCCAATCGTGTTGGAATCCCACCTGAATGCACAGGAATGGACTCGCCTGCTGTAGGAGGTGCTGTGAGGTCTCAGAGTTTCTGATACACAGGGCAGGCATCACAGAACAAGACTATCCTTTCTCAAAATCAACACTTTGGAACTCAAGCTTCTGGAACATAATCAAATTACACAAACAAGGCAGAGAGTTTGAGTGACTCCCCCCCAGGTGCCATATCAGAACTAGTGGGGAGCAGATCCAGGAACAGAACCTGCAGTTACAAGACCTAGAGGCTGGAGTGAGGTGACTTTCAATATCACCTGATGCAGTAGCTTTTACAAACTAGAAAAATGAGGCACAAAGGAAAGCTAACTAAGGTCAGACCCACCTCCCCTGTTATAGATTAGAAAGAACACTGGAACTGGAGCCAGGGTGCTTGTATAAAAATCTTTGTGGCCTTTTAGTGAGTCATTTAAACTTTTAAAACCCCAGCCATCAGGTATTTCCATCTTGGCTTCCTTTACCACCTGTTCCCTGAATCTCCTGGAACAATCCACCATGTGGGTAGCTGCATAGCATGTTTGCGCCCTTCCTGGTCCCATCTCAGGTCTTGTTCTATGTCCCCTTCTGCCCTCACAAGGGCTGTTCAAAGCTCTCATCTCTCTTCCCAAGCCTTCTACATTTCTTCTCTCCTTAACAGCCCTCTGTTTCAGTTTATTCTGTAAACTAAGACGCCTCCAAAGAAAATTTTAACCTGTAATCTACAAAATTATCTATTTCCCCCACAAACTCTCATCTGGTTTTCCTCTTTTCTTGCTGTCTTGCTCATCGGACCCTCACATTTAGCACCCAGGTAGGTATGAATGATACTGGTGAAGAAATTGAGAGGTCAAGTCACTCAACCAATATTAATTTCTGGGTACAAAGAGAAGAGCTGAGACTCTATCAAAGTTTTTCCTAGTCCAAAGTTCATGTTTTAAGTCACAAGATAAACACTAATATGTCCCTTAAGGCATTGTCTTAAAACAAGAGGGCTGCAGAAACCAGAAGTTACTCTTAGACTAGATATCTCCCCCCATAATATTTTATAAAATTGCCTTAGCACCTTAAAATCCCTCATAGCATTGACTCTTTCTGCTATCTTTGTGTTAGGAATAGAGAAACAAATATACAGATGTCTAAAAGTTTAGCATCTTCCAGAAGCTAAGAGAATTGTTTCGAAAATCACCTGGTTGGCACTAAATTATGGAAGTATCTTTGCAAACTTTATCCTAGTGATAATTCTACAGGACTCCTGTGGCATCCTGAGAAAGAATGTTAGAATCCTGCAACCCTGGATTGGGTAAATCAACCTCATAGTATTTCAGCCCTGGGTTCACAACAGCAGACAAATCAATGCACTGAGCCCTTTGCTCAGATAGTTGTTTGCTGCACTTGGGTTGCACAATCAAGGGACATCAGGGCAGCCGGTTCTGTGATGAAGGGGCAGGTGTGACGCAGGTCAGTGGCGAGGGGATGGGCAGAGTGGCTACATGGAAAAGGGATCCTTCCCTGTTTCAACAAAATTTCACAATGCATTGGTTAATGATTCTAAAATAAATAATTTCACCACTTGAAGCGTTTTGGTCCTGTTACCAGGTGGGTGCATTTTAACTAAGTGTTAATTGGTGTTGCAATACTTCAAAATCAGAAATTATCTCTGATTCAAGCTTATTTATAAATAATGAAAAAAGAGAAAAAATGCTTTGATTATACAATTTCAACTCCCATTGACTATTCTTGACTGCTAGTATAATTTTTTATTGAAAACTATCTCAAATATTTTTAGAGACAGGTAGAGTTTGTATTTGAAACAAATAAGCATGGATTTGGAATTTCTCTATGTTGAATAAGGGGGTAATTTGTATTCCATGAAAGAGTTGACACTACAATGTTTTAAAAGGTGGGGAAGTTTCTTTTAGGTATCTTTTTGTTGTTGGCTCTTTAATGGTCAAGAAAAAAACAAAAACAGAAAAACCCACGGAGTGAGAGAGAGAGAAGAGTAAATCAACTGAAATGCACATTTTATGAACATTTGACTTGAATTTGTAAAGTATCTAAATAGTAATAAATAAATAGTAAATAGTTACAAATTAAATACAATTTAAATAAAAATAATAAATCATTAAAATGAAATAGGCCATCAATAAAAGGGAATACTATAACATAATTTAAAAAATATTTCCTCAAATCACATACTTTAGGATATATTTGATACATTTACAGAATGCCAAGCAATCTAGAAGTAAGCCTTTCTGGTGTTGGTTAATTTACTCTTCAATAGTATCTGTTTAACTTCTCTGTGATTCTCTTGGCTTTTCCCTCATGACCACAAAATGGCTGCCACAGCAGATTTGCCACCTCCTCACAAGCAACATCCAAAACCAGAAAAGAAGCATTCTGCCATATCTCCTTTTATCAGAGAAACTTTCCAAATACACTCTATCAAATCTTCCCCTGTATTTCATTAGCTCTTGCTCCCTCTAAATATAAACACTGAGAAGAGAGTGGAGTTACTGTGGCTACTGACAGAGGTCAGTAAACTCCTTCTGAAAGGACTTGCTGGTCAATATTTTAGACTTTTCAGGGCCTGTAATCTTTGTCTCAGCTATTCACCTCAGCTGTTGCAGAGCAAGAGTGTATACACTGTAAAGAGACGAGTATGGTTGTCTGTCAGTAAAACTGTATGAACACAAAAATTGAACTTCCTATAATTTCTACCTATCACAAAATATTATTCTCCTGCTATTTTTTTTAATATATAATAGCTTATTTTTACATCATTTTGTGCCTTTTTCCATCTCAGTTGCAATGCCTTTGGGCATCCTATCCCCAAATCACCCATGTGCCATCACCATAGTCCAGTGCATTTCCCTCCTCCCACTGTTTTTGATCCCATTCCCCACTCCACCCCCATAAAATGTCTCTGGTGTATGGCTGTTCATCATTATCATTATTTTCTCACCTGGTCCATTATACTCCTGCTATGAGAGAAACCATCAGGTATTTTTCCTTTTCTTTATGGCTTATTTCACTAAGCATGATCTTTTCCAGCTCCATCCATGTTGCTGCAAAAGACATGTGTTTCTTTTTTTTTTTTTTTTTGGTTGCTGAGTAATATTCCATTGTATATATGTACCACATCTTTTTAATCCAGTCATCCGTTTTGGGCATTTGGGCTGTTTCCATGTCTTTCCAATTGTAAATAAAACAGCAGTAAACATGGGGGTGCAGGTATCTTTTTGAATCAGTGTGTCTTTTGGGTAGATACCTAGGAGTGGGATTGCTGGATCGTATGGAAGCTCCATGTTTAGCAGTTTGAGGAACCTCCAAAGAGTTTTCCATAGTGGTTGTACTAGTTTGCATTCCCATCAGCAGTGCTCTTCTGCTATTTTTCAACCAGTTAAAAGCATTATTTGTTTTTTCATATGGTTCTTAGCCATACAAAAAGAGGTGGTAAGCCAGATCAGCTAGAACATCATGGTTTGTCAATCCCTGTGATGATTTGTCCCCTTGGGATTATAGATGAAGCTCATCTTCCTGAAACACCATCACAGCAAACCTGCAAAAAAGAAAAAAAGTGGGGTTCTATTAGGCAGTTAAG